TATATGCACCTTGTGCTTTCATGTGCAGATGTTGGCCTGTGCATGGTTGCCCTTTCGCTTGCTTCGCGGCGGTGCGTGTTCTCGACCAAGCCCCGCCTTGTTCCGTCGTGCTGGCCGCGCGCCTTCGATGTCGTCTGCGCGGCACGCGCGCTTTGCTGCGGGCACAGGTCTTGGCCGAGCAGAGGCCATTCGCACGCGCGCGCACCGGGGGCACAAAAACCATCATCATCATCATCATCATCATCATCATCATCATCATCATCATCATCATCATCATCATCATCATCATCATCATCATCCAAACCACCACCACCACCACCACCACCATCATCATCATCATCATCATCATCATCATCATCATCATCATCACCATCACCATCACCATCACCATCATCATCATCATCATCATCATCATCATCATCATCATCATCATCACCCATCCTCCCATGCCCTCTCCCTCCTTGTCTTCCTGTTCGTCCTTGTCGACATTCCTGCCTAATCTTGCTTGCCCGCCGTTCCCTCCTCTCCCTGTCCTCTCCTGCGCCTCGGTTCTGCCATCTCCCCCTTGCCAGCCGAGGGGCTTGCTAACGGACGCGCGGGGTGGGGCGGGGCCGCGAATCCGAATCGGTGCTTTGGGCGGCCGCAAGGACTTCTGGGGGAGGGCCAGGCCCGCACGGACGCGCCTCGGCCGAGAATGTGTTTCGGTCCTGCTCGGGAGGGTCCCGGGGGCCGAGACCTGTTGTTGCCCTCCGCATCCCCCTCGTCCCCCCTTTGCCATCTCTCCCTGCCCTCTCATGTATCCTGCTCCCCCTTGTCTGTGCCTACTGCCTGGACCACCCCAGGGAACGTCACAAAGGCCCCCTTCGATGGCGCGCGAACCGGTTTTGCAACTTCGACCACCAAATCTTCTCAGCTCCGAGAACCGAAGAGGTGCACGTTGGGGGCGGCGAATCTGGTGCACACTGGGGTTTTGTGATATACTCGTGCTATACAGTTCTTATTGTGCACGCAAGCGTCCGGAACGGTCTCCCCAATGCACACCACCAATGTGTTGCCTCCTGCTGGGGTCCCCAATGCGCACCACACGCCGTCCCCAGTGCGCACCATACCCTGTGTGCACAACCCCGTCCCCAATGCACCATCCCCTGCGCGCACCATCCCCTGCGTGCGCCATCCCTTGTGTGCAGCTGTCGGTGCAGAGAAGATTTGGTGGTCGAAGCTGCAGAGCCGACTCGGGCGCCACCCACCAACTGCACGAGACTGTTTTTTTCTTATTATTCTGGGTAACGGCTGTTACCCGGGGGGGGCGGCGGGTAACGGTAACGGCGGCCGCGGCGTGCGCCCGCCAGGTGCGTGGGTCCGCGCCATCGGCACATCAATTGCCTGCGCGCGCTGCAATCCACGCGCACGCGACAATGCCAAATGCATTCGTGCAAGACAACGCCGCCTGAGTGCACCACTGAGCTTCTGTACACCACAACAGCTGCGTGCACAACGCCACCACGTCGCCCATGTACGCCGCTGTATCGTGGTATCCTGCAACAGCCGTGCGCAACAGCGCTTCTGTACACCGCAGCGACTGCTGCGTGCACCACAGCAACCATGTGCACCACAGCGCCTGCGCACGCCACAATGCTTCCGTGCACCACAACGCCTGTCTACAACAAAACGTGCCAACAAGCACATCAATAGCTTGCGAAACCTTTTTTGCTGGGCCCGCCACAGACCGTGGAAACCCTCACCACGTCACCCGTGTACACCGCAATGTTTGTAAATAGTGCAACAGCCGTGTGCGCCACAGCGCCCGTGTACACCACATTGTCTCCTCCTCTTCCTCCTCCTGCGTCAGGTCCTCCTCCCCCTCCCCTTCCTCCTCCTCCCCCGCCGCTTTGTGGGGCTCGCCGCGGACTAACGAGGCCCTCGGGGCTCGTTTTTCAAGCTCTCGCGGGGGAGGCCTCAACGATGGCCGCGGCCTTCGTGCTGAGGGAAGGGAATACGGAACGGGAGGAGGAAGGGCAGCGTGGGATACGGAGCGGGGGGGGCACATAACTTCCCCAAGCAATACTTGCACTCAGGCGCAGCGTTTGCACTGTTACTGTTTGGGGCCCATTCGCGCCAACGTGTTGCTTAATCCAAACTGCATCGGGAACGCTTGAGCGTGAACAATCAGGCCCCGAGGGGAACGGGCTTTGGACCGATGACGACTCGAATCACGGGTCCAATGGCGGCCCGGGGGCGCCAGCGCAGCCACTTCGACACCCAAACCTGTGTTTGTTTCGCGGCCGCAGGATATGCGAAAAAACCGGATGATGCCCTTTCACCACCAAACCATCTCTTCTGGCACCACGCCATGGCAGTGCATTCGGCGCCGCAACAGGTGGGGCACCTGCGAACGCCACAACACGTTTGCGAACACCACGCATGCTTTTCAGCAGCACGCCGCGCATGTGAGCACAGCGCCATACCTGCTGAGAAGAGGGGGGTCCGCCCTCCACCCCCGAAAAAACCACGATCGTTATAGCTTTATCCGCGGGGGGGGTGAGCCCTGGTAGCAAGCGTTACCTGCCAGAGAGAAAAAACGCTCTCCACCGCGAGAGGGGGCCCCTGTAACGATCCCCGGAGTGGTCCAGGCAACAGGCACAAACAACGGGGAGCAGGATAGGAACCCTGCAGAGGGGGCGCGGGGGGAAATGCTGGAAACGAGAGGGGACAGGGAGGAAAGAGAAACGAGAGAGAAGAACGCGTGGGAAGGGGCAGGGAGGGGAGGCGGGGGCGGAGAGGGGGCGGGGAGGGCAGGCAGGGGGGGGGAGAGGGGACCGACAGGGACGGGAGAGAAGGAACGAACACGAGAGGGTAGGGAGAGATGGCAAGGGAAGGAAAAAAGGGGTACGAAGGAGATGGGAAAGGGGAAACAACAGGTTTCGGCCCCTGGGACCCTCCCGAGCAAGGACCAAAACACATTCTCGATGCAGGCGCGTCCGTGCGGGCCTGGTCCCCCCCCAAAGGTCCCTCCTGCAGCCGCTCAGAGCACCGATCCGGGTTCGCGGCCCCACCCCACCCCGCGCGTCCGTTAGCAAGCCCCTCGGCTGGCAAGGGGGAGATGGCAGAACCGAGGCGCAGGAGAGGAGGGAACGGCGGGCCAGCAGGATCAGGCAGGGATGTCGACAAGGACGAAGAGGAAGACAAGGAGGGAGAAGGCATGGGAGGATGGGTGATGATGATGGTTTGTGTGCCCCCAGTGCGCGCGCGTGCGAATGGCCTCTGCTCGGCCAAGACCTGTGCCCGCAGCAAAGCGCGCGCGCCGCGCAGAGGACATCGAAGGCGCGCGGCCAGCACGACGGAACAAGGCGGGGCTTGGTCGAGAACACGCACCGCCGCGAAGCAAGCGAACGGGCAGCCATGCACAGGCCAGGATCTGCACGTGAAAGCACACGACAACACACAAAATAAAACCTATGCAATTTTTTGGGGGCAAAAGATTGAAACAGAGTCCCCAGTGAGCCTGCCGATGGCTTCCAGGCGAAGCCTTGCTTTGCTTTGCAATGCGAAGGGGAGGCGCCTCACCCTTCCTCCTCCCCCGCCTCATCCGCGCTCGCCCCCCACCACCCGCCTCTATTGGATCGCGCACCGTATGGAGCTCAGCTCACCTACGCGCGCCTGGTCCGCCGACACCCGTCCGCACTGCCCCGAGCTCCATTGAAGTGGCCCTGGGACACACGAAGAAATAGACACAAATAACAGGATTCCCCATCTGTTCCTATATGTTCCTATTGTTTCTATGGTTTTGTCTTCCCCCCCACTTCCCATATTTTCCTACATTTTCTGGGGGATAGACGATTAATTGTGTCTGTGTGTTTCTTTCCCTCCTGATCCATCCCTACCGCACCGCACGACCTATGAGAACTTCGCCGGGCGAACCTGGACGGCAAGGCGAAAGACAAGGCCCCGTCCCTGCTTGCCTAGAGGCCTCCCAGATTGGGTAGGAATCTATGGTGTCAGAGGATCGCGCCGCATCGTCGATGCATCACCGATGCATCCGCGATGCATCGGCGACGTCGGCGGGATTATCCGACCCCCGACCCCACCTGCTCGGACCCCATCTGGGAGGCCTAGAATACCTCTTCCAACTTGCGACGATGCGTGAGCCTTTCTGCAAATCCTCCGAGCGTCGGGGACGCGCTGATTCGCCAGGATCTACCAAGGCCTCGCTGCAGGCCCCGACCAGCAACACACAGCAGACACATATACGAAAAGAAAGCATGATAGAAGACATCTCAGGGAACATATCCGCCGATGTAAAGGGTCCAAGTGTGGCCCAGAGCTCACAATGTCGGTCCCTGGGGCCATCGGGGGATGAGAGCTTTCCGCGGGGCACCTGCTGGCAGGCCGATCTCTTGTTCGACGCGCCGATCCCAGACATGCGGCGTCTTGTTCCGTTCAACGCGGGACCCCCAGAAGTTCCGACCCGCCGCCTCGATCGTCGATCCTCCTCCTCCTCCTCCTCGATCCTCCTCGATCCTCCTCGATCCTACTCGATCCACCTCCTCCTCCTCCTCCTCCTCCTCCTCCTCCTCCTCCTCCCTCCTCCCCCCTCTTCGTCCTGGTCCTCCTCCTCCTCCTCCTCCTCCTCCTGACCCCTGCTTCTCATCCCGCGAGGGGATTTCTTGACGGCCCCGGGGCCCGGCGTAAGCCGACCACTTGGCAACAACTCGGCCCTGGCTATTCTTGGCAAGGCGCGGCGCGCCTTCGGCTCGGGGGGCGGCTCCCGCGCCCAGCGGGGGCCGGCGGGCACCCACACCACACCGGGGGAGCGCGCAGGGCCCCCGCTGGCCCCTTGAGATCAGACGTCGCGCAAGTGAAAAGAAAATTCGGCGGTGGACAAACCGTTCTTTAGCAAACCGCCCGTTAGTGAAAACGGCCTAGGACCGAGACCGACGGACCTGGACCCGCAGAAACGACGGCCGCGGCGCCCTCTCGCGAACCGAAACCGGCCAATTCGCTCATCGACGTGTCGGGAGGGGAGGTCTATCAACCTCCGAAACATGCAGAATCTTCCTGCAGCATCTTTCGAGCCGGATCGATCTGCACATGGTCCCTGGGCCCGAAGGCCCGTCCGACAGACGGCGCGCGAGAGGCGCAGACGCCCGGATCTCTGGGGGGCGCCGGCTCCCGTCGCGTGCGCCGCGAGGGCCTGGGCCTGCGTGCTCGCGGGCGCCGTCCAGGCCGCCATGCGCCTGGAAGGGCAGCAGACGAGGCACACGCGTTAAATGTCGGAGGTCCGCGCAGATTTTTTGGACCGGCGCCAGATTCACCTCCCTGGCGCAGGTGGACCATCGTGCCAACCCAAGAAGCCCTCCGCAGGTGTGCAGGTAGGCCGTGGGGGGAACCACGACAACGATAAGATAACGACACCAGCTGCGGGCTCCATCGAACACTCCAGCCCTTACAGGGGGGTGCAGGCCCCTGCTTCGGGCCCACGGGAAGGAGGGCGAGCAACGAGCAACAATCCCTGCCGTCGCAGCCTTGGCCCCCTCGGCACGACGAATGCAGGATGACGATTAATCGGAGGTTGGGGGGTGAGTCCGACGTGGAACGGAGATCCCCCCTACCGGGAAATCGATTTCGGTTTTGGGTTCGTGTCGTGCGTGCCGTGCGTACGTGCGTGCGGGCGGGGCGAAGCTGCGCGGGCGAGCGAGAGGAAATTCTCCTGTGGCTGGGCCGCGGCAGGACCAAAAGTCCCTGCACCGTCAAACGGTGGCCCGCGGCGTCCCGCTGGTGTCCCGCTGGTATCCCGAAATCCTCCTGTGGCTGGGCCGCGGCCGGATCAAAAATCTCTCCACCGGCAAACGGTGGCCCGCGGTGTCCCGCTGGTGTCCCGAAATCCTCCTGTGGCCGGGCCGCGGCCGGACCAAAAGTCTCTCCACCTGGCAGACGGTGCCCCGCGGTGTCCTGCTAGTGTCCCGCTGGTGTCCCGCCGTGGCTGCGGCGAGCTATCCAATGCAAGTCTACATGCAAACCGAAAAGCACAGCGAAATGCAAATCGACATGCACACCCAAATGCAAATCGTAAGGCGCCGTGGGTTGCGTATCACATCACATCACGCTCACGATCACAATCACACTACTCACTAGACTGCGCACCACAGGCATCGTCAGAGCAACAATCAACACTGTTGCCCATTGCTGCCCCCCCAAACCTCCGTATCACCCGCAGGGAGGTCGTGTAGGTAAAACATAGGGGGAACGTTGAAAGCAATCATTTCTCTGATCTCTACATGATTTTTCAACGGGGGGAGGACGATTAAAATAGCTGTCTATTACACGTCGGCTTCGAATCTTGCGTCGAATACTCATTTCACGTCATCGTCAAATTTCACGTCGAATAATCATTCGACGTCAACTTGCTAGTACAGCTCATGGCAACTACAGATCCGATGCGTTCGTCGTCGTAATTGCATCCCACTGCAGTTGCCCCCGCTCCTTTCTCCTTGACCCCCTCCCTCCTAACCCTTCGCTTCGGCTCTGTCTGGCCTTTCGGCTGTCCGGGCGCGCGCCCGAGGACGGCAGGGGGGGAACGATTAAAAAAATAGTTTCCCAGTCCGCGGCCGGTTTGTTCTAATCATCCTCTGGGGCGCCGCCGAGGCAACACGACCCCTGGTCATTTATTGATCGTCATCCTACATTAATGGTACTATCGGATTCCCTAGCCAAAAAAGGATGTGATTAAAGAGCCCGATCATCGCTTGCGAGTGACAAGCGAAGAAACCTGGAGCGGGAGCCCCCCGTACTTATGGGGCCACCACTTCGCGCTAGTAATCCCAGGCGGTCACCGGCAGACTATAGCAAACACCGCACTTGAGCACCCCAAGGTGGCAAAATCGTGAGAATGCTTCGAGCGGGGGCTTCGTCGGTGAGTGAATGGCGAGGAAGTCTCGAGCGGGGGGCCTGTCCCTACGGGCCCCCGTCCGTGGATGAGTTGCCAAGCAGTCTCGAGCGAGAGCCCTTTCTCTATGGTGTCCCTCTTTCATGTTTGCAATGCGAAGCGGTCATCGACACACTGTGGCAAGCGTTGCACTCGAGCACCCCCAGGGGCCAACTCGTGAAAATGTCAAGGGTGGTGGCCTCGGCTGTGGGTGAATGGCGCGGTAGTCCCGAGCGGAGGCCCTCTCCCTATGGCCGCCCGCTCCATGAAAATAAGCCGAATCGCTCATCGGCAGACCGCACCAGGAGTAGCAATTTGGCATCCCGGGGGGGCAAATCGTGAGGCGGGGGCCTCGTCTGTGAGCGAATGGCGAGGGAGTCTCGAGCGGGAGCCCTCTCCCTATGGGCTCCCCGCATCATGCCAGTAATCCGAGGCGGCCACCGGAATCCCAACGACTTCGTAATCTGGCCATAGGAGAGCGCGCCCTCGCTGGCAGAGGCAGCGACAAAGAACACCGGCATACTTGTCCCTGCAAGACGGGCTTGGGAGGAGGTGGATGGGGAGAAGAGGCAGAAGGAGGACGAGGAGGAGGCAGAACAGGGGGCGGAAGGAGGGCCACTGCCAGGGCGAACATAGCAAGAAGACGAATGAGAAAAATAGGAAGAAAAGGAATACCAATAAGAAGACGAATACAACTGATGATAAGGATAGTAATGCGAAAAAGGGCGATGGGGAGACAGGAAGAGAACCTATGCTCTCAATGGACGCCGATGAGGATTACTTCCAGATTGAGTTGGGTTGCTTGTTTTAGTAATCAAAAGGTGAGCGATGTTTTTTTGTTCGGCGTTTCGCCGTTGGGCAGGAAGGGGGGGGAGGGGGGGGGTCTGGCTCTGGACCTCTGCTTAGCGCGACTCTGCTCGAAACAGGCGCCAAAAACAGCCAAGATCTACTCCAGGTGGGGAGGGAGGGGGGGTGCGACGGGCCCGCGCCGATCGACAAAACAATGATACAAAAAATGATCACAAGATTGTGCCGCTGTTTGTTCTCCTCCGAGCGCCGCGCCGTCCTCCCCTGACGAGCTCGCGGAGACCGCCGCCTCGCCGCCACGGCCGAGCAACCCGGACCGCGCGTGCAGGAGACACTCGGCGGCCTCCTGGAGCTCTGACTCCAAGCTGCCCAGCTCGTCGGCCTCAGACGGCGCTGGCGGCTGCGAGGACGACGTGGTCAGAGACGCCAAGACTTAGGAAACCCAAGGTTCGCTAGGGATTTTTGTTTTTTCCCCGGCCACCGGATTTCCAGGATCAAAGTTCCGAGCGATGTGGTTGGAATGTCATTGTCGGAAGTCCGGTGACACGGAGAACCAGTGGAACCGCTTCCCGGTTGAATGTTCGGACGAAAGCCCGCATCCAAGGTTCGCTAGGGAATGGGTTTCCCCCCAGAAACGACCGAAACGTTCCCGAAACCTTTCGAAAACCTTCCTCGCAAGATTCTGGGAGGCTTTTCACAGGAATCCGGGAGGGTTTCAAAAAGGTTTTGATCGTCTCGGTAGGAAATCAGTCCCTGGCGAGCCCTGGGCTTTCTAAGCCAAGACCCCGAATCTCCGAAGATGTGAGCGGAATACAAAAACGGGTCTCACGCGAGATGACGCAGCGACCTTACGCGGCCAGCTTACGCGCCAATGTCGGCGCAGATGACATTGTTTTGCGTTGCTCGTGTGGCTTTCTAAATCCGCGCGCGTTTCCCCCGACTTCGGCCTTCGGGGTTCGTGGCTGGGCCCCAGGGCCACCGAAGACGGATCCAAGGCGCAAATCTTGGCCCGGGGAAAGGGTCGGGATACCTGGGACCGCAGATTGCGGGAGTTATTCGGCGGCAAGCGTGGGGGACAGTGGGAAAGAGAGAGCCTTCTCAGAAAGCGGCGGGACTTCTCAGAAGCCCTCGCGCCTTCTGAGAGATTGTTTGTTTTGTGCATTTTCGGGGAAGGCTTAGAACACTTCTCAGAAGGCCAGGGGGCTTCCGAGCCTTCCGAGAAGGCCTCCCCCTTCTCAGACGCCTGGTGGTTTTTGGGTCATACCTCGGCTCTCCAGTGGCCGTTCGAACGCCCTCGGCGAGGCGCAGCTGCTGGAACGCACCCCGAGGCTGGAAAACGGCCGAAAACTGACGACGAGACCCTCGAACCTCGAACCTCGAACTTCTCCGTCGGGCTCGCCGCCGAAGAGAGGTCCCTTCTCACTCTCCCCCCCCGGGGCTCGCCGCCGAAGCTTCCAGGAGTCATGTCGGAGGGTGTCTGGGACAGACGGCAACGACGACGAGGACGCCGAGGCGATAGGACGTCGACGAGGGCCAGCGCCCGCCCAAGGCCGAACGCGATCCCCACTTCTGGCGTCCACTCTCCACCAGGGCTGAACCTAAACGGTGTTTGTCGTTTTCGTTTTGTCTTCGTTTTCCCTCGCTGTTGTCTCGGATCCACCTTTACCGCAGAACGAAGTCGAAACGTAAACGGCCCACGAAATCGCAAAAAAAAACACCGTTTAGGTCCAGCCCTGCTCTCCACCCCTGGCCGGTTGCTCGAGCTCTGCGCTCGGGCGGTGGCGACAAGAGACCCCCTCCCCTCCCAGAGCTCGGAATGGGAACGCCTGCAGCTGTCTCGAGGATTGACCGAGCACCCTGTTAGCAAGATGCCCTCAAGGAGAACTTCCAGCGACACTCCACGTGCGCGCGGCACCGCATTCCGAGCGGACTCGGGCGGGATATCTGATCGACCTCTGAAGACAAGTGACTCACTCTATCTGGCGAAACACTCGTAGCGAAACCGATTGGGGACTGCAACGGTACACTCGAATGCCGATGTCGAGTGAACCGGTTCAGATTTCCACAGTCGACTTGCCTGGGTATGCGCTCTCTGAATACCCGCCTGTCGGCCGTGGCGTCGCAGCGACCCCCCGAAGGTCGAAAGTAGTGAACAATCCCCACCTCAATGCTTTTGCTGATTTTGCTCCTCTGGACCCCCTGACCATCCCCTAAACACTCCACGGGCCTGTTTCTCGAATTGAATTCGGCCTGTGGCGACGAGGGCCCCGTGGCCGAAAAAGTGAAACATCCTCCTGCTTCCTCCTCGACACGCCCCCGCCGCCGCCTCCCCGGCGGGAAGCGAGCCCAGGCGTCTACGCGCGAAGGCCCCCCGGAGGGCTGGATCTGGGCACGGTTGCGAACGTCTGGCTCGACGTCTTCTTTGGGGGGAGACAGTATGAACGACACACCGCCGTTGGGAGCTCACCAGCGTGCTACTGTTGAGAAGCTCGGGTGTTGCTAGAAGTGCCCATGGCCCAAGGTGCCCCCAGCTTTTCGTTGAATTTCTGGGTCTCTGGGGCCCTCTGGGCCTCGTGAGGGGTACTCTGGAGGCCGAACGGGCCTCTTTGGAAATCCTAGGGGCACCTTGGGCCAGGGGCACTCCTAGCAACACCCGAAGAACACGGGGCCTAGGACAACTCACGGAGGAATAAACACGCTGATGGGCTCCCGACGGCGGCGTGCCATTGACACGCAGACATGCGATGCCATGGTTTGTCCAAGACGCTGTCCCCAGAAACCCCGGCCCTTTGCCCAAGGCCGGATGATCATCCCAGGCAGCGTTTCGACAGTCCTGGGGCCCAGCGAGGGCCCCCAGAGGCCAAAAGCCGCCAAAGGCCTCCCGTGGTGTATTTGTCGCGACGCGAGCATGTCTAGGTTGCGAACCCCCTGCTCGATGTTGGTCGGGGGTCTCGAAAACGTGTGGTGACAGACCGCGCGGTGATCTCGAAATCCCGAGAGACCTCACCAGGCGATCCGTCACCGCACGGCCCTGGGACCTCGCAGGCCCCGGTCGCCCGACAAGTTCTCGAAGAACGACTCGAGTCCCAAAGTCGCGCGGTGGCCCCGAATCATTACGTGGTGTGGTCACCGCACCGTCTGGGGGCCCCCCACGCGGTGCCCAAGACGCCCCGTCGTCGCCTCCTCCGCCGCCGCGGGGGGCGCGCCGAGGAGCACCGCCGCGGTGCACACGCCGGCGAGCACCCGCAGGCGCATCGCCCCGCGCCCCCCCCCCAGGACGCGGACGCGGGCAGCCACCTGTGAAGGAGGAGGCGGAGGAGGAGGAGGAGGAGGAGGAGGAGGAGGAGGAGGAGGAGAACTCATGCTCGCGTCGCGAAACGAAAAGTCACGGCGGGAGATGTTGGACCGTTTTCGGCCACGAACTGCGAGCCCTCGTCAAGACCCAGTACCGCCAGAAATCTGCCCAGAATGAGCCGCCTGCCCCGGGGGAAGGGTCGGGACGTCCGTGGACCCCGTCTAGTGAGGAGATCTATCAAAAGGAAACGACACGAACACGAACTTCCAGAGGTCCGCTCGGATGTCTTGGATCGGCGCATGCCCCTGGCGCGCGGAGCCCCTGGCGCGCGGAGCGTGCCAGGGAAGGGAGCTGGAGGCGTCGCCAGGGGGGCCTGGCGCCGATTCGAGTAATGCGCGCGGGCCTCCGAAGGGTTGTTTTGTGCCTCTTGCCTTGTCCTCGAGAGGCCTTGCCCCCGCTGCCCCGGCGAAGCGGGCCAGTAGAGCTGAGCGGTGGCGAGCGACGTTGACCACCGCCCCGCCCACTGGCTGTGGTTGATGGCGACGCGGTGCCTATGCCGTAGACGCCCTCGGCCGGAGGCCGAGAAAGTAGCTAGGGGTCACGAAGATGCCACCCTGGAGCCGCCTCGCAGTCGCTCCCGCCCACTGGTGGTCCCCCAACTGACCAACATGGGGTTCGCACGTGGCTGCCCAGGGAGGTCGCTTGGCCCACAGCGTCGGAGGTCTGGAACGCAGAAGATGGGGAGAAGAGAGGAGGGAGGAGGGATGGAGGGAGTCAGTGTGCAAGCCAAGTCACACCTTTGAATTCAATCGATGTCCCTGGACTATCTCTGATGTACGGGCTCCCGCGAGCGGATGCGAGGCGGCCAGTCGGTACCCGAGGAAGAGGAGGAGGGGGAGGAGGAGGAGACGGAGGAGGACTCCAACACGATACTCTTCCTTCGGGGTGGAAGGTCCCCAGGTGGCTGGACATTAGAGGAGCAGCCACCAGAATTCGGGCTTTGAGCCCTCGCGCTCGTCGCTTGGCGTGAGTGTGGCAATGCAACGCATGCAAATGCATGAAGACGCATGCCAATGCATGTCAATGTATGCCAATGCATGCCAATGCATGCCAACGCACGCCAGTGCATGCCAACGCAAGCCAACGCATGCAAACGCATGCCAACGCATGCCAATGCATGCCAACGCATGCCAACGCATGCCAATGCATGCCAACGCATGCCAACGCATGCTAATGCATCGGTGGAGCCCCAGCATGAAGGGTCAGGGCGTGAGGGGCCGAAGCCCCAACATCAGGGAGTCAACGCATGATGGGCTAATGCCCCAGCATGAGGGGGTCAAAGCATGAGGGGCCAATCAATGCCCCAGCATGACGGGTCAGGGCGTGAGGGGCCGAAGCCCCGGCATGAGGGGTCAACGCATGAAGGGCCAATGCCCGAGCATGAGGGGGTCAACGCATGACGGGTAAGCCAAGGCCCCGGGATGAGGGGTCAAAGCATGAGGGGCCGAAGCCCCGGCATGAAGGATCAACGCATGAAGGGCCGATGCCCCAGCAGGAGGGAGTCAACGCATGATGGGGCCAACCAATGCCCCAACATGACAGGGCGTGAGGGGCCGAAGCCCCGGCGTAAGGGGTCAACGCATGAAGGGCCGATGCCCCAGCATGAGGGGGTCAACGCATGAGGGGCCAGCCGAGGACAGGGCGTAAAGGGCCGAAGCCCCGGCATGAGGGGTCAACGCATGAAGGGCCACTGCCCGAGCATGAGGGGGTCAACGCATGAGGGGCCAGCCGAGGCCCCAGCATGAGGGGTCAGGACATGAGGGGCCGAAGCTCCTGCATGAAGGATCAACGCATGAAGGGCCGATGCCCCAGCATGAGGGGGTCAACGCATGAGGAGGCGGAGGAGGAGGAGGAGGAGAAGGAGGAGGAGCAGGATGCAGACAGAGACAATTCTGAAACCTAAACCTCTGGGGCTCAGCCTGAGCCCCTGGAGGCCTGATTGTTGCTTCGTGCCTGGGGGCAGCCTGACGGCAAAAAAGCGTTCCCAAAACTGCAAAAACTCAAGGTCCCACATCGTGACAACATCACGGAGTCGGACGTATGGGGGGAGGGCCGCCTGTCTGCCTGCATGGAACAGAGCACGAAGAAGGCACTTGCCACACCACGGCAACCTGGGGAAAAGATGAACATGCATGCGTGCGCGAATTCTGGGGCGCCCCGGAGTCATGAGCAGCGGCGAGCTTGCATGTGCACGTAAAGACAAGGTCTGCATATGGCGTTGATCGTCGCAACCGGCGGTCTAGGAAAGTGTGCACCTTCTTGAGACAGGCACGAATATCATACTGGTAGACCAGGCTGCAGATGCACATATATCCAAGCGTATGATGATCTTTACACATCTGCCTGCAAGAGCAGGCAGGACTGACTGATCGCTCTGGCATGGACATGGTCAAGCCAAAAAACAAAGCCCGCGGCTGCCGCATATCTCCCAAACCCTATCACCCCCACCCGACGTCACGCCTTTTTTCGTTACGCTGATCGAATGAGCTGCCGCCCCCTTCTGGGGACTGTATTGTTGCAGTCGAAATTGTCTGGTGAGGACACGCAAAGCCCACATTGCCATAGGAATGTAGAAGGCATGGGCCGCTGAACACAGGAGACACTGGTACCCTTGATTTGGCAAGGTCGACCTACTAATCAAACTTGACTGTATCCAGGACTGTTCTTCGAGGGCCTGTGAATGCCAATGATTGCAGGGCGGTGGCGGCGAGACAATGCGGCGTTCGCGGTGCGAGTGGCGCAATTATCATGCCATCAGCCGGTAGCGTGGGCCTCATGCTCGGATCGGAACTTTCCTCTCATCTTTCAAAATATGAAATTCTCACCCCAGCCGGCCCACCTTTCGGGATCCGAGCCCCGTCTCCTCGCTGTCCTCCTTTCCGCTCCTTAGCCTGCCCCTGGCCCACCTGCTCCTCCCGCCCCTTCAACCCCAAGTCCTGCTGCTGCTGTTGCTCCTCGTCCTCCTCCTTCCACATCCTCCGCCTTTTCCTCCTGCTCATCCGCCACCGCCACCTCCTCCTCCTCCTCCTCCTCCTCCTTCGATGTACACTGTTCCACTATTCCGACTGCCCGACAGGTCCGCCGTGACACGCGTCCGCGGACAGAGAGAAAACAGCGGAATGGAAAGGGATGGGGTGGGAGGGATATGATGCCAGAAATGGCAAGAGCACTCCTACATTGCCCTCTCCCTACTCTTCGTCTTCTTCTTCGCATTATTGTTCTGATTACTATAATTGTTGTTATTCCAAATATTATTACTATTCCTTTTCCTCGTCCTCGTCCTCGTCCTCTTTCTCCTCCTCCTCCAAAAGATGGGAACATCCACTGTGCGCGGTGCGCTTCGGCGGCGAATCAACTGCAGCCGTCCCCCTCGCATGGTCGTCCCCCTCGCATGGGAGTACCCATGGCACCTCCCCCCCCCTCCCCCTCCACACCCCTCCTTCCGCTGCTCCTGGCCCTTCGCTCCGTTGCCCGCCCTTTCCATCACGCTCTCCTCGGGGGGGGGGCGGAGGAACCGAGCTTCCCCCCCTCGGGAGGGGCCCCAGCGGCGCAACCGCGCACAAAACACCTTCTCTCCGCCTCCTCCGAGGAAGAAGACGACAACGATGATGACGACGACGACGACGACGACGACGGCGACGACGACGACGACGACGAGGGCGGCGGCGGCGACGGCGACCACGACGAGCCCGCCCCCGCCCCGCCGCGGCCGCAGCTGCAGCGGCGCTAGCCGCCGCTGCTTCCGGGTCCTGCGGGCACACCGCGCGCGCGGGACACCGCCGACAGCCGCGCGACGCCGAGCCGAATCCCAGCAGGCCAGACACCATCGGACACATCGGGGACCTCGGAGATCGGGCGGTTCTGGAGGACCAGTCAAGCACCGCGGCCGTTTCACGCGTCCAGAGCGTTCCGGGACGCTCTGGAGCGATTCATCCCGATCTTGCACCCGATTTAGAACACCTCCCCCACTTCAAACCTCCAAAGACCTTCTGCGGGGCTTTCCGAAGATCACGGGAACCCTCCACCATGTGCATCCGTCAGCCGCTAAATAACGCCCGTATCAATTCTCGTCTACTACGTCGCAGCATGCAAGAACAACGCGTTTTCGCCGCCGTCGCCCTCGTCGCCGCAAACTCACTAGCGACAACGTCGTCGCTAAGGCCTTAACATTCAAAAGCATGTGCGCCATTTTGTGGTCGCTGGATGTTCATGGCAGGGGGACCTGCGAGGACCCCCAGAGACGCCCCATACCTCCAGGATCCCGAAGGAATCACGACGCCCGATGACGCCCAACTCTCCCGAAATTCAAGCCGTTTCGGTCCCGTGTGGCCGTCGGGCGACGGCCCGCGACGAAGCACCGCCCGCGGGGCTGGGGTCGAGAGCTCCGGGTCGGCGTCGGGGATCTGGGGCGGGGCGCAGTAGTCGAGGAATGGCGGCGCGAGGGAGGGGGCTGCAGGCAAAATCTTGCGATGAGCAACCTCAAAGGGCCAAGCATCCGTTCTGGCACCCGCTGCGCCGAGATGTCCGAAGACGGGGGACGAGGAGGCAGGACGAGAAGGATGGTGGATCTAGATGACAACGACAGCGATCACGATGACGGGTCCTCCGAGCCCAGCGGGTCGGGGAACGACGTGGGTGGGGGTTCCTGCGCAGCGGGCGTCGCCGTCGTCGTCGGCCGCCTCGTGGTCGTCGTCGCCGACCTCGTCGCTGGTGCTGGGGCTGAGCGTCGTGGTAGTCGTTCTTAGCTTCGTCACCGTTTCGTAATTCATCGTCGTCGTCTGTCGTCGAAAGTTTTAGACGTGTTCTATCTCTTGGGGAGGCCCTCTGGGACACCCGGGGGCCCTCAGAGATTGTTCGGACTTCCCACTCGGTTCCTGAAAGAGAGGAAACGGGGGGAACCGGGATACATAAACAAAAGGGCAAGGGGGCGACAGGCTAGGTGCGCTCGTGCCACATCGCATATCACATCACTCCCCCCCAATCCCTTCCTATTGCGCTGATGTTATTTATCCGCGGGCGCGTGTCAAAGCCAACATATAACTCTACAAAAAACCGTTGTGGCATGCGCTATCGGAAAATGGGAGCACCCCCCACATGAGGAAGTGGCGGGTGAACAGGAGGATGGCAGGAGGAAGAAGAGCATGATGAGGAACATGTGACACGAAGAGGAACAACGACAACAAGGACAAGATTTGGAGAAACGGGAACAACAAAACACCACGGGAACGCGGGGAGGGGAACCGGCACTCTAAACGACGGGGATTTGAAAGCGAGGTCCACGTTGCGGCGGGTGCACCATTTCGAATCACCGAAAGCAGTCAGTTGACAAATTGACAAAAACAACAAGACAATCAACCTTTTCCACTCTGTTCGTTCGCGCGATAAAGAAACACTACGCGGCGAGAGCCGGTCATCTTCTAGACGAACTCAAGGAAGAGAAAGGAAGAGATGGGAGCAGGAGGAGGAGGAGGAGGAGGAGGAGGAGGAGGAGGAGGAGGAGGAGGAGGAGGACGAGGAGGAGGTGGGGGAGGAGGAGGAACAGGAGGAAGAGGAAGACGACGACGAAAACGACGAGGACAGGTGGAACTCGAACTACGGGGGTTAGATGGCGGCTGTTGATAAGAGGAAAGCGTGGCGGCAACGCGGAACCTTTTCTTCTCATATCAGACGCATGCGCTCCAAAACCGCAAACCCATAAGCAGTGAGGCGTCCTGTTCGACTCTTGGTCGCGCGGGCGATCGAACAGCTCTGGCGGAGCTAAGGAACCGATAAAGAAATAATGCGAAAACTGTCCGACCCCCCGCGCGCCTCCCCAATCCGTGATAAACACACACACACACACACACACACACACACACACACACACACACACACACACACACACACACACACACACACACACACACACACACACACACACACACACACACACACACACACACACACACACACACACACACACACACACACACACACACACACACACACACACACACACACACACACACACACACACACACACACACACACACACACACACACACACACACACACACACACACACACACACACACACACACACACACACACACACACACACACACACACACACACACACACACACACACACACACACACACACACACACACACACACACACACACACACACACACACACACACACACACACACACACACACACACACACACACACACACACACACACACACACACACACACACACACACACACACACACACACACACACACACACACACACACACACACACACACACACACACACACACACACACACACACACACACCAGCCGGGCGCGAGCCAGGCGCGGCCAGGCCCGGCCGGCTGCCACCTGGGGGGCGCGAGCTGGGCGCGGCGGAATGCGTGCTCACCGTGGATGCTCAGTGAGCACGCCCGTCATCGTAGGAACGGCAACAACCAGCTCGCCCTGACTGCCATGTGCCGTGTCTGCGCGCGCGAGGGCCGTGCGTCGCGTTCGAAACGACCGACAGACCGCGCGAAGCTCGATGCGGTGCGACGCGCGACCCGCGAACAGGATTGGACGGAGATGTGACGAGACCTAGGACAGGCAGGTTTGAATGGGGAGAGAAGGCGGGGGGGCTTCCCTTGAGGGTGCGCGGCAGATGATGTTCCGCGCGTCACCTCGCAGCTCAGTCCACGTCCTCTCCCCTGTCGCCATGCGCGCGCGGGGTGCGAGGGCGGTCCGAGCGCGCGGCGGCGTCACCCTCGGCGGACTCCCCCGAGCCTAGGGTGGGCTGGACCTCCTCCTCCTTCTCGACGTCCCTCTCCTCGCTGGCTTCGGCGGCCTTGGCCGTCTTCGCCTTCAATGCTGCCGCCCGCTTCGCGCCCCGCGCCTCTTTGCCCTCGAAGCCACCGCGGCGCGTTTTCGATTGCGGGCTCGGTCGCGGAGGCCTCCGCCTTCCTCGCATTGTCCTCGCCGCCCTTGCCGACCTGGCCGCCGCGCTGGGGCTGCTGCGCGCGCTGCGCCTGGCCGCGGCGCCGCTGCCGACGGACGCCCGGGGCCCCGCTGCAGCGCCAGGGCAGGCGCGCTGCAACGGCCTGGAAACCTCGCGCTGGCGCGCGATGCCCTGGCGGCGGCCCGGGGGGCAAAGGCGGCGTGATCTCCGGCCCAGGCCCGGCTGGCCCGCTCTGGCTCGGACGAGAAAGAGTGGGGGCGAAGGCGCGGGTGACCCAGCCACGCACCGCCAGCGGCGGTGGAGCGCGCGGCGGCGCTCCCAGCCGAGCGCGCTGGACAGTGCGCCGCCAGGCGCCGGGCCACCAACGTCGCGGGCGAGACGCTGACTTCCCCTCGACCGTGGACGACGCGTCGGGCTCGACGCGGCGCCGGTCGCACATCGCCCGCGCCCCGTGCCCGAGCGCCGCGCATTGCTCTGGGCTCAAGCAGCCGCCCGAGAACGGAATGAACCTGGCGAGATACTCGGGAAGGCGCTTGGACGCGCGCCGCGCCTCCGCGGACGGCGCCTTGCAACTCGCTGGGCGAAAGGGGCCCCGCCGCGATATCCTCCGCCAAGTCCTCCGCCGCCTTCGCGTCTGCCTCCGAGCGCGCGACGCGCCCCTCGGCCATCTGCGGCGCTGCCACCCTCAACTTGCTGATCGAATGCGCGCGGAGACGCGTCGGTCGCGGCGTCGGCGAAGGCTGGGGCGACGCCGACGGGCCGACTGCCGAGGGGCGCCGCCGTCCACGCGCGGCTGCAGGGCTGCGCGACCGAGGAGCGCGGCGGCGCGATGGGGGAGCTTCGTCGTCCTCGCGGCCGGGGCGGCGCAGCGCGCCGGCGAAGCCTGGGCCCTGCTGAGGCGGGGGCGTGGTGGCGGCGACTGTGGCGGAGGTGGAGCGCTGTGTTTCAGCTCGGTTGCAGGTGATGGCGCCGTCGCGGGGGGCGCCGCTGGCGGGCGAACCCCGCTGGCGCTCGACTCCGGCGTCGGAGGATGGCGGAGCGGCCGGCCGATTGGCCGCGGCGACGTTCTCCCTCGGCATGGCCGCGCCCATCGCCCCCCCCTGCGCGAGTGCGCGCCTCGTGGCTGGGCGGCGCGGGCTCGCGCGCCCGTGACCGGCGCCGCGCGGTCGGCCCGCGCGCGGGGCCGCCGGCGCAGGCCAGCGCCTGGGCGACCGACGACGCGCGCGGCCCGCGCACCGATGACGCAAACGGCCACCTGGGTCGTGCACATCTGCGCGCGCGCAAGTCCACGCGAGCATCGCGTCGCGCGCTGCCGCTCGCACCCCTGCCCTCTCCACTGCGACGCCGCCGCGCCCGCGCCGCGCTTGCCGCGACACTTCTCCCAGTCATGTCGCGCGACGCATGCGCGGCGAGCGCGGCGGGCCTGGCCGAGGCGGCACGGGGCGCGCGACTTCCATGCAAGAGCAAGAGAAAGAGAGATGAGGAAAAGGAGACATATTTGGTCAGGCCAAACAGAACGCGGCGGCCACACTGGCCACTGCTGGTCGCCCCCCTCGGCGGGCATGCGCTCGCGGCCGGGTGGCCCGTTTGTTCGGCCGCGACGACGAGGGCGGCGGCATGGGGGCGCGGTCTCGGCGACAGAAATGGAAAGACGCGGCCCTTCGCGAGTCCGTCCGCAGCCATGTCGCGGGCATCCTCCCAGCTCAACGCCGACGGCTGGCCTGTGCGCAGGAGGTTTCGGGGGCGCAGGAGGCTCTGGAACAGGAGGTGCTCCGCGCGGGGCCCGGGCCCCATGGCCGCCGCGGCGGCGACGACGCCCGTCGGGGCCAGGGCAAATGTCGAGCTGCACGGCCGATGCTCGCCGCCCGTCTCGCTGGCCCCGCGCGGCGCACGGGCCGCGCGGCCCCGCGGCCGCCTCGCGAAGCGTAGTGGCGAACGATCCGCGGGCGCAGCAGCGGCCGTCCGCTCGCTCGGCGAGGTGATTTCTGCCGCTGTCTTCAATGGTCCACGTTGCGCGCGAGGGGGATGTCCAGGGACGGTGCCATCGAAAGGCGCCGATGCTGATGACGGGGGCGCGTTGCCCACGCATTGAGACGCCGCCCTGATTTGTCTGCGGGGCGCCGGGTCGGAGTGCGAATCCAGCGCAGCTGCGCCCGCCGCGGCTGGGTCGCGAAACTTCAACGGGATAGCCTGCGGCCATCTGGCTTGTTTTTTTGTTGTTGTTTATTTGCTCACGCGCTGCTCGGGCGCGGCCGCGCGCGGGCGCCGCCGCGCGGCGCTGCTGCGTGACCGCGTAGATGTGAAGGTCAACGCTTGTGACGAGGTGAGCGCCGCAACCACGAGAAGCCTGCGCAGGAGCCACGCAAGTTCGACGGATGCAAGCCCAACGCTGGCTGTTCTAATGAAGTCAGCATCCCCGATGGTTTTCAGAGCTGGCGTTGTCGGCCAGGCCCAGTTCGTGACAACCATCAACGGTTTGGCGAATGCCGCGCCGAACAGATCGCGAAACTCCCCCCGGAGACACCCAACTCATCTTCGCCAAAAACCGTCCAACAAAAAGCGTCTTTTTTTATCTCAGAGAAGTCCTGCGACCTTGATGTCGTCAACGTGTTTAGTCCTCTGGAGATAGAGCTGTCCGCTGAGTCAACTGTTTCGCGATGGGTTCTTCGTCGCAGAGCGGGGCGGCCTGGCGGGCGCCGCCGATTGCATGGGCGAGCGGGGTGGTCCAGCATCTCTGCGCGCCCTTGCAGCCACCGCCTGGTCTCCATGTGGAAGACCTCGAATGCTGCGTCGGGGTTCTCGAATTCTGGGGTCTTGCGAAGAGCTGGAAAAGCGTCGCGGGGAGCTCGGCTTCGACTTCGCGCTGATCCTCGCCTGATTGAACTTGCGAGATCGTTGTAGTGAGCATTTAAAACTTGATGATGTCCAGCGCGCCGATCGTCCGTCCTCGGGAGGCCGCCTCGGAAACGACCACCCTGCGCGAGAATCGCGAGGAGGCACCCGTGTAAGAGGCGATATAAACGGGGTCGATGTCCTCGGGGCGCCGAAGACTCAAACGCACACACGTGGTCCGCACCTTATCCGCGGGATCCGACTTGCCCCGTTTCCATTCAAATATGCCTCCTCACCTGCAGACCAGGATGTGCCTGGCTCCTCGGCGGAGCCGCCAAGAAAGGCAAGTGTCGTCAACCCCGACTTGGAACTCTTCGAATACCGCCGCGGCTACTGCCGCGGCGTTATCTAGGTAATCGCGAGGGGTGAATAGGTAGGCGTCGCGTTCGATCGCAGCATTCTTTGACACCACAACATAAGACCCTGAATCGTGCACCGTGACCGTCGGGCACTGGATGGTCAGAGGTGAGCTCGTGCTTCTCGCCACGCGTCAATGCCGCGGTCGCCAAAGCCGATGGCCCCCGACGGCGGGGGGAAGTTCAGTGTCGAAGGCGAAGCGAGGGCGGTGTGGCTGCACAGCTCAATAAAGGCGCGCGGTGGCGGATATGACGGGGCGGGCTTTGGCTCGGCCTCCCGGAAGGAGTCGATGCTCGAAGCGCCTGCCGTGAGAAACAGAACAAAACGCACGGCGGCCCGTTGCTCCGCCGTCAAGGATGTCCGCGAAGTCGAGTCGAAGAAGCGTGCGTCGCTGGACTCCTCGCGTCGCCGTGGGCAGACTCGTTCAGGTGCGCGCCAGCTTTAGAGGCGTCGGTGCTGCTGCCCCACGCGCGCGTTGCTGATGCTCGTCTTCCACAATGTACTCAAAGCAGCGGCCACCAATCTCCCCAATGGCCTGAACGCTCGACGAGGATGAGTCGAGCAGTTCGGTGCCCGACCAAGCTTCGACCTCGCGTAGACCTGATCTCCACCATGCTAACTAAACATGTTCCGCCTTGGCTGTCCCAGTCGGTAAAAACCACGCCCCACTTGGATTGCCGCGGGGCTGGTCATATTGAGCGCGATCCGAGCACTGTGATCGAAACCGATGGCGAACTGGCGTCGCGAAGTGGTCACCGTGATGGTGGTGCCAATGTCGGCTGGGCCAAACCGTTGTAACGCCTTAGCCGTGCGGCTGAAGATGTGCTGTTCAACTGTCGTCTATGCTTGCCCGTGTGGCGTCGTAGTCTGGCTGGGGACCCCGTGGACTAGCCCTCGAAAATCCACGAACCGTCGTGCATCACCCAGGCGGCATATCTGCTCGGCGCTTCGGAAATTCACGGTCACCGCAAAGCGTTGAGCATCCATTTTGGGGACGGCGGTTGGTTCACTCCACCCGCCCGTCCTTGGCGGATAGGGCCCAGTAGAAGTAGACAGGCTCTCCTGGCTTGCAGTCCAAGGTCTCCCCAGAGACGGTGGTGGGGACTTAGGAGCACGGCTAATTCGAATGATGGCCGATGCCCCCGTGATCCGTTGCAGCGATATTTTCGCTGCCGGAGAGAAGAACTCACAACGCCTGTCGCGTCGTCAAGGGGCGCCCCGCATGTCCGGCAACATCCCAGACTGACGGCCAAACCTGACGTTGCAAGGAATGGCGCCTCCCTGCGATATGAAGGAGTTTCCAACAAAAGCTGCACCAATCAAAAAGGTCGGGCATGGTGGCTCGTCATCCTTCGCGCCGGAATCGCTCGTCAATGCAATGCGTGGCGTGTTGGAGGATCGCACCGCGTCGCTCAAACATGTTGTGTGCTGGTCTGTGGCTCGTACTCGGCCCAATATCTCATGTCGATCGCGCAACAACTCAGTTGCAACTCGAAAAATAACTCGTTCCCCGCCCACTATCAAAGATTTGAACAGTCCGGAAATAGATATCCAACGCGGAAAAATGACTCAACACAGTCGCCAAAGGGGCTCGATGCCTAATATCGCTGGCATCTCCTGCGAGCATCCGTGGTGCGTGTCGCCTGTCGCCTCTGTCCACAATGTTGCGCGTTCGATCATGGACACCTCGCCACGCATCTTGGCCTCTGGAACCGCCAAAAGACCGCCGCAAAAACCGCGAGCGGGCGCGCGCCCCGCCACGGGCGTTGGTTCCCGACACAGTCTTCGGCGGTCTTCGGCGGTCTTTCGGCGGTCTTCGGCGGTCTTCGGCAGTCCTCGGCGGTCTTTTCGGAGGTCTTCGGCGGTTTTCGGCGGTCTTTCGGCGGTCTTCGGCGGTCTTCGGCAGTCCTCGGCGGTCTTCGCGGCGGTCTTTGCGGCGGTCTTCGGCGGTGTTCGGCGGTCTTTCGGCGGTCTTCGGCGGTCTTCCGGCGGTCGGGTCTTTCGGCGGTGTTCGGTGGTCTTTCGGCGGTCTTCGGCGGTCTGGACGGCGGCCCGACACGGTTTTCGGCGGTCTTCGGCTGTCATCGGTGTGAAATCAAGATATTTCGCGTTAGCAAGAGGTCCATGATCGAACACGTAGCACAATGTGCCAGATAGGGAACAGGCGGTAGAGGAGAATGCCCCCCTCTATTTCTTGGTCGGGAGCCCTGACCAGTTCAACCGGTGGTGTCACCTGTGACGCGGTGGACGCCCATGCCGGGCTTTCACGGCAAGTTCCGATTACACCAGAGATGCATTGGATAACTGAGTGCGGGTAGCGGGCTGCGAACAAAATAATCCTACCAGCGCTCTGGGCGTCGGTGATCTAGAGAGCTTCCTCTTCCAACCTCCTGTTTCCCCGTCGAAGAAGGGTTGACCCTTCCCCCGTTACCCCTTCCCATGGAATTGGAAGGGGGGGTCCGCGAGGGGTTGGAGCATCCAACATGGTCCAAGACGGCTCCATGAGCGCTTCACATGAGCCCGATGACCCCCAAGATGGTCCTGGATAGCCCTGGATGCCTCGAGACGGTTCCCAAGATGCTTCAAGATGGCTCCCAAGATGCCCCAAAACGGTTCCAGGTGGCCACGAAGCCTCCCCAGGAGGTCCCCAAGAGACCAATAACCTTTTTAACAGCCATAGGAATGACAATGTTGTTAGCTTTCTCGCCTTTTCGCTTCTGATGGCCATGTGAGGCCTCAGGATGGCTCCGAGATGGTACCAGAGGGCCCCAAGGGGGGCGCAAGAGGCCTCCAAGATGGTTTCAAAAACGCCCAAGAGCGCTCCAAGAGCGCCCCAAGAGGCGATTTCTGGGGCTCCCGAAAGGGGGGGCCTAATTGAACCTCCCCACTTGTTTGATCGATGTCTTCCAAGATGGCTCCAAGACCAACCGTAAATCTCCCAAGAGCGCCCCAAGAGGGCCCCAAGAGGCGCCCAGACGGCTCCAAAAGGTGCCTCATAACCACATGATGATCCCCTGATCAACTGCAGCATTGACATTGATAAGAACAGGACCAGCAGCAATATACAAAACAGCTGCATACATTCAGAGGTCCGCGCGGACGTTCTTGGATCGGCGCTGGGCCCCAAACTTCCTGGCGCGGCGCCAGAGGCGGCGGCGCCAGAAGGGGGTTCGGCGCAGACCGAAGGCATCCGCGCAGACCTCCGACAGCGCACGCTTGCGCAGCTTGCTTGCTCCTCGAGCCCCGCGGCACGGCGCCCCCCCCGGCCCTGCCCACGGCGCGCCTCGCAGCGGACTACGCGGGGCGGGCGGAGGCCCGGGAAGAACGACCTCGCCGCACGCCCGCGCGCCCGCGCGACCCCCGCCGCTGGCGACGACAACGACCACGACCACGACCACGACCACGACGACGACGACGACGACCACGAGGAAGGACGGTGATGAGCGCGAGCGACCCAAGCGTCGCTGCCGTTCGTCGTCCGTGGTCGTGGTCGTCTTGGTCGTCGTCGAGGTCGCCGTCGTGCGCTTATCGTCGCCACCGCTGCCGCTCCTCAAAGTCGCCCCGCCCCCACCCCCGGTGCATCCTGGAAGCGCACTCGAGCTGGCCAAGACCCGGCCGATGGGGAAACTGGGCTGACTGGCCCCCCCCCTCCACCCCCCGCTGGGGAGACCTAAGAGAGATTGATGATTGAGGGGGTAACGCACAATTGGGCCAGCACGCGTCCTGAGGATCGTCGAAAAGAGCACAAACGAAAACCGCAAAACCGACGCCGCTCCTCAGGATCGGCCTTCACTGATCGCGTCCTGTATGGCGCATCCTGGCCAAGACTGCGGGCCAAGCCTGGCCGTGGGCGGACGACGTTCGAGGCCCCCCCCCCAGCGCAGGCCGAACAGAAGGAAACGAAGCGACGCGACAAGAAAGCCCCAGAACATTCAGAAACGCCGACGCCGTCGCCGGGGCCCGAAACGAGCCTCCTCGCCGCAGGCGCCGCCGGCGCCGCCGGCGCCGCCGCCAGTATCGTGTCCACGCCAACGTCATCGCCGTCGCTGGGCGGCAACCGGGCCGGCTTGCCCTCAACTCAGTCGTCGTCACAGCCGTGTCGGCCCCTGGAATCCAACGTTGCGAACAGAACACTGCAACAGAACAATCACGGCACTGAAGCCCAAAACACCCCATCTGTCTGCGGTACTTTCCGAGGCGGGTCGACCCGAGAAGGCCCCCGGGGCCCGAAACGGAGCGGAGACGCCACGCATGAACAAATGCAAGGCCCGGATCTCAAGGGCCTGCGCCGCTGCCGCCGCGGGCGTCGGCAGTGCCCTCGGCGGCGCAAGGGGCAGAAGCGGCGGCGGCGGGCGGCGGGCGGCCTGCCCCATCTGCGGGCGCGGCTCGCCCGGGCGTGCTCGGGGGAGCTCCTGCGGAGGGGGGGCGGGCGGGCGGGACTTGCTCGCTTGGGCGGCGGGCCGCGGCCCCTCCAGGCTCGAAGCGCGAGAGCGGGGCAAAAGCAGGGGGGCAGGGGAAGGGGGGCGGCAAGGGCTCCAACAAATAGTCCTCCTCCGTTGGAGGGGGGGAGGCGGCTCCCGGGTCCCCTCTCAGGCGGGGTACCCAGCAGGCGCTGGATGGGTAGGGGCGCGGGCAGCGGGGGGTACCCAGTCGGCGGGGCACCCATCTGACGGCAGCGTGGGCAGCAGGAGGACTCCCCCTGGCCCTCGCCTTGGCGCCCGCGCGTCGTCGCCCCGACTGCTGGCAAGATGCGATGGCGCGTCGGGCCAGGCGGACGGAACCACTGCTGCAGCCCGCCCCCCCGAAGGACACAGGCGCACGGGGAAGGGAGGGCGGGGAACACACACTGAAAGCGCGCGACACTGGGCGCCCGCCAGGACGCGGGGAGTCCGAATCGACGGCAAGCGCGAATCACAGCACCCGACAAGACGCGGCACATCCACGACGGCGCTGCAGAGGTCGCATAACGGCACCCGCAGCGCGGCCACGGCACGGCTCGCGACACGGCGCTCGGCACGGCAGGGCCGCTCACGGCTTCTCGGCGCGGCTCGGCGCGGCGCGGCACCGAAAGGCACGGCATGCAGCACACCAACGGCACGGCACGCAGACCGAGTCCGGCGCGGCCACGGAGGAGGGACGAGGAGCGAATCGACGAGATCTCCCTGGGCCGAGGGCCTCCGGAGTCCTCCTGCCAGCCGGCAAAGTCCCATGGTTCATGAGGGGATGGTGCTCTCCCGGAAGATGCCCATCCGGCGCTCGACGGGCAGGGGGCGGTCGGCGGAGGGGCACCTTCCCGCCCGAACGACGATCAAAAACGAGCCTTGCGCGAGATGGCATGGCGGCCTTACGCGGTGGCTGACGCGGGCCGCCCGTGCGGCACGCCAGCTGAAGCGAGGGCGCTTACGCGCGAGCTTACGCGGGCAACTTACGCGCCAATGTCGGCGCCGACGACCCCGTTGTTTTGCGTCGCTCATCTGGCGGCAGGGGAGAGCGGGAGGGGGGTCTCCCAGATACCCGTCCGGCGGGGTACCCAGACGGCGCTGGAAAGGGGGGTGGACGCCGGGGGGTGGGGTCCTCCTCAGTTCGCCTACTGGGGAAGTCCAGGGGAGGCAGCCGAAGTCCAGGGAGGTCTGGGAGACAATCTGGGGGAACCAGCTCCAGCGCCGGCCCACGAGATTTGGAGGACGACGACGACGAGGACGCGAGCACAGAGTGGGGAACGAACGACTGTGCGACAGTCCTAGGAGGAGAGGGAAGACACGCCGAGTCCGGGAACCCAAAGAAAACCCAAGGGAAGAACTCTAAAGCTCCAGGGACATCCGACGAAATGGCTCCTGTTCAATCTGCGGCCCCACAGAGGTCCCGACCCAATCCCCAGCGGCCACGTCTTCGCTCCCGGACCAGCGCATGACGGCCCGAAGACCCGAAGACGGCACCCGGAGGCCTAAATTTTGCGTGACCCAAAAGGGGGTCCAGCTGAAAGGGGGTGGTGCAATGGATTTGGGACGATTGTATTGCTAACGTATTGCGCCGGAGAATTGTATTGCATCGTATCGCAAGTAATGTACTGCGCGCGACAATCCAGCAATACATTTGCGCCCTGGAACGTCTTGCACGCCCCACATGCATTGCAAACCCACAGATCCATTGCACCAAATCTATTGCACCACCCCCTTGCCGCTGGACCCCCCTTTGGGCCAACCCGAGAAATCGATGAAGAGCCCCGCGGTTGAAGACAACGCGTCGCCGCGAAAGCCTGGGGGAAGCCCATGGCCGGAGGCAACGGCTCCGCGCCAGCCGGCTGGGCACGGACCCCTCTCGGCCTCATGAAAGAGCGAGGCTCCAGGCACGAGTGGACCTTTCGTGCGCGGCCTCCCGGGGCCGCGGGGAGGCCAAAGCCAAGCGCGCAGGCCAGTGGAGGAGGGGCCCCATGTGAGACGAAGCCATGACGAGGATGAAAGCAGGTGAGGGTAGATCGAGAACCTCTGAGATCCGGCGGCTCTGCAGGATGTCTCGGGCGCCGCGGCTTTTTCAGAGCGTTCCGGAACGCTCTGAGAGCCTGCCGGCACGCTCTGGAACGGACTTACTCTCGTCCTATAGCCCCGTCCGACCATGTGGGCCCGCACTACAGGTCACTCCGGCGAGGGGCCACGCATCCTACGCGTACCCCGACATCCGTCGATACGATTGCTTTCAACCACCGGCTCCCAAAAGCTCCCCGCCCCTCTGCTGGGGCCAGCTCCGCGCCCGGGACCCATCTGTGCTGGCGCTGGCCCGACGGCGGGCACCGGAGGCCGACCTCAAGGAAGAACGCCTGGATTCAAAACTCTGGAATTCAGATTGTCCGCGATCTGTTTTTTTGTCCGCGATTGTCCGCGAGATGGTTAGCCGCGCGCGGATTTGTTGAATTGACGCTGAACCCTCCTCCCTGGCGCGCGCAGCGCGCCAGGGGCGACGCTGGAGGCGCCACCAGAGGCCCAACGGCGATCCAAGAAATCCAGGCGGAGCACCGAAAGTTCATGCTTACGCATTTGCTTCTTCCTCGGTCTTCTGCGTAGCCGACCTTTTCAGACATGCGACGCCATGATTTGCCCAATGCGCGGCCCCAGGACGTCCCGACCCCTTCCCCACAGGGCCAGTGTCCTGACGCTCCCGGGGCCTGGCAAGGGACCCCCCCTGAGGCCGAAGATTGACAAGAAGTCCGCTCAGACGTCATTGACCTTACGTTTATGGCATCTATTCTTCGAGAACAGCATCATGCAACTTACTCCCATCCTCTTTCGGGGTCCACCAAGGGGGGGTCCTTGAGGGGGGGGGGAGTTCGATCCGCTGGTGCATCGAATTTTCGAAAAAAACGATGCCACCCGCGCGCCCCGACTGTCGACGCCTCTCGGGTTCCAGCGGCGGCCGGAGACCTCGTTTTGCATAGTCTTTCTGTGGTTCGATGCGCCAACGGACCGAACTCTCCCCCCCCCCCTGTGGCCCCCCCCTTTGTGTGAGGTCCCGACTCTTGCGGCTGGCCCTCCGCCGAGAGGGGCGGAGGGAAACCCAGTCAGCCGACCCTGTTCAGGACCTTGCCCCCCGGGAGCCCCGCCCGCGGACGACAGCGCACGCGCGGGCGCGCCAGGGGTCCTGTCCATCGCGGCGCCCCGGGGCGGGTGCGCAGCGCGCGCCCTGGCGGTCGAGAGGGTCGTCCGCTCGGCGGGGGGGGTGGCGCGCGGGGCGGGGGGGGCTCGAGGAGCGGCGGGGGAGGAAGGGAGGAGGCTCGGAGGGAGGGGGGAGGAGAGGTCTCCTGGATTCTCGATGGAGGTCGAAGAAGAAAAACAACTTTACTTGACTCGGAAGCCGCCGCCGTCGCCATATTCGTCGTCGTCGTCATCGCTTTCGTCGTCGTCGTCGTCGTCGTTTTCGTCGTTGTCGTTTTCGTCGTCGTTTTCGTTGTCGTCGACGCCGCCGCCGTCGCCGCAGCGTTTGATCACCCTTTCCCTGGGCCCGTCGCCGCTCCCCCCCCACGCTTTCGCTGGGCCCTCCTCCTCCCGCGGGCCAGGCACAGCGAAACCAAAGCGAAATTGAGCAACGTCGTAGTTGAGTCGAAGGGAAGCCCCTCCCCCTTGATCCCTTCCACCCCTTTGATCCCTTCCACCCCGGTGGGGGGGGTCCTGGGTCAAATACCATCCTCCCCCGGAGGTCCGGGGCCCAAACAGGCCCCAAGACAGCCTAAGAGGGCCTCCAATCGCCGAACAGTCGGTCCAAGCGGCCAAAGATCAAATGAGGGCCCCGAATCGCCGAACACTCAGTCCAAGACGCCAAAGGTGGCCTCCTGACAGCCCAAGCGGCTGCCAAGACGCTCGAAGAGGCCTCCGAGAGCACACCATGAGGGCCCCAATAAGCAAATTCAATGATCACCTTTCTAGGTTTTTGGGAGATTCGTGCGTTCTCGCCTTTCGGCGCTCCAACGCCCCAAGACAGCCCAAGATGCCACCAGTATCGGCCCAAGAGGCCCCCCAAGAGGTTTCCAAGACGGCCCCAGAACGACCAGAGAGGCCCCCAAGACTGCCGTAGAGGCCTCCCACACTGCCCAAAAGGCACTCAAAACGGCTCCCAGAGGGTGCCCACACGGGAGCCCGAACGAACATCTCGAGCCCTCGGCCCCGAGCAGCTCCCAGAAGGCCCCAAGAGGCCTCCAAGAGGTCCCCACGAGGCCCCCACGAGGCCCCAAGAGGAAGCATCCCTGAGGACTCTGCCCCACGTCAGCGTCGTCGTCGCCGCCGACGCCACCGTCGTGGTCGTCGTCACCCTCCGCGGTCGGCGGCACCGGCCGTGTCGACATGATCTTTCGGAGCTGCGCGCGGACTTCTGGGACCTGCGCTGGGCTTGCCTGGCGGCGCCTGAGGCGCCGCCACTGGCCGCGCTCTGCGCGCCTGGGAAGGGCGGCCCAGCGCCGACCGAAGGAATTCGCGCGATGGCCCCGAACGTTCATGTTTATGCACATGCACATGTTTCTGCTTCGAGAGAGGGCACACCACACGTGCTATCTTCCAGCAGCACCCCTGGGGTCGCAGGAGAGACACGAGCCTCCGCATTCGCAGGGCCACGACCGCCAGAGAAAACGAGCCTCCGCGACTGCAGTGTCGAATCTGTACGCTGCCCTTCGGGCGCAGGAGTAACACGAGCCTCCGCGTCCCCAGGGGGAGCAGGAGCAGACTGGAGGAGGAACAGGATGGACCAGGATACCATGGAGGAGATGGAGGGGGGGGATACGAGAGGGAGGAGGAAGAGGAGGACCAGAGGAGGACAGAGAGAGAGAGAGAGAGAGAGAACGAGAGAACGAGAGAGAGAGAGAGAGACCGAAGACATAGAGATATCTGGGACTTGGTAGACAAGGCGAGCCGCACGATCGGGAACTGCAGCGCTGAACACGTGCAATTTTTCCGGCGGAACGGTGATGCGGAACCGTGAAATATTGGAACAAGTCCGCGGCTCGGAACTGGGTGAGAGTACGAGGGCAGACTTCTTTCGTCTCTACCACAATGGGAACTGAGATCCCAGGAACCCACGGGGAAACCATGGAATGGAGCAATAATATGACGACCATATGGGGGTCCGGACAACTCCACAACTCCACGCCCACTGCTCCCCGAGGCCCAGGGCGATCGTCTCCCACGCTGGTGGCTATGCGTAGCAAGCTCGGCCTCGAGGTGAGCCCGCGCAGCCGTCTGACCACGCGTGCGCAGCTACGGAATGCGAGAGCCTCGCGGCCTGGCCCGTGGACCGCAGAAAGCATTTCCAAATTCTTCATCCTCTCTCCTCCCCCTCACTCTCTCCCTTCCTCTCCCCCTCCCCCTCCCCCTCCCCCCTTTTCCCCTCCCCCCTCTCCCTTTTCCTCCTCCTCCTCCTCCTCCTCCTCCTCCTCCTCCTCGGGGTAACACGGAGCTGGAGCGAGAAGAGCGCGCAGACGGGAAGAGGAACCACTCAGACGAGAAGCTGCAGCAATGGATTGCGGGTTGATCAAGGCTTCCGGGCGGATCCTGTCGCACCGAGGAAGCTACCCCTGCATAGGGAAACCAAAAGAAAGGCATGCATATCATTTTCCTGAGGTTTGCACAGGTTTCTTGGAAAGGCGCTGGACCCCTCGACCCCCCCCCCCCCCCTTGGAGCGCGGAGCGCGCCAAGGGCGACGCTGGAGGCGCCGTCAGGGCCAAGAAATCGGCGCGGATCTCCGACCAATCCTGCTTACGCAATTGTTCCTTCATCGGCCTTACGCGTAACCCTGCGCGGGCGATAATAATACCCGGGAAACAATGAAGTTCGGGGGTCTGGCGGGGATAATCAACGATTTTCCCGGGGAAGGTGAACTTATGGGCGCTCGGCATAAGACTGACTCGAGAGAACTCGACGCTCGTGGCTACAATTTGCCAGCAGGCGCGATCCAATCCGTCCCCATGCCCCTGCCACACGTTCCTGACTCGGGATCGGCTGAGAAAGTGAGAATCCCAAGGCCTTGCCGCGCGTTCGTGACTTGGGCAAACTGAACAGGTGAGAATCCCACAGCCCTGCCACTCGCTCGTGTTTGCGGAAGCTGATATGGTGGCCACGCTCAGCGTTTTTGATGTTGTTGCTACTCAACATGAGATGATAATGATAGCAACTTCGATTCGCAAATTCCCCCGTGGATTATCAAGTTCGGCCTCCGCGCCCCTATCCACAATTAAATCTTATTGAACGGGGGATGGACAAATAGAGGGGGTTAAGGTGTTTGTGTTTGGTTTATTTTCGCCCGCACGCGGTTAACCGACCTTCCCAGACATGCGACACCATGATTTTTCCAATGCGCGGCGCCGCATCGAACCCTTCCCCACAAGGCCAGCGTTTCATCCGGGGCCCGGCAATGGCCCTCCCGAGGCCGGAAACTGAGACAAGAAGTCCGCTCGGACATAAGAGAAATGATGCGCATGGAATTCTTGGCCCCGAGAAGAGCATCCTGTAGCTTACCCATGCTCTTGCGGCTGGTCCTCCGCCGAGAGGGGGGGGGGGGGGGGGGGGGAAGTCGCCCCTTAAGGCAAAGGCGCTCTGTCTGGCCGCACCGCCACCGCGCGCGGACCGAGCGGTGTTTGCTCGGCCCATGAGCCAGGGCGCGCGGCGAAGGAATCTGGTGTCTGGGCGCCCCAGCTCCTGGCCCCCCACTGGTCTGCGCACCGAGCTCGCTGATTGACCAGGCGATCCTGCGTTTCTTGGACGGGGCTAAGACGAGAATGAATCCGCCCAGAGCGTTCCGGAACGATCTCAGGGCGTTCCGGAACGCTCTGGGAGGCCGCGGCGCCCGAAGCACGCTCCAACTCCGCCGGATCTCAAAGATCCTATGTTTTTAGAAGATGGGCAGGGGCGCGGTTTAAAGGGGTGTGGTGTGGACGCCCTGCATGACCAAAGAAACAACGATCTGGGCGACTTCGCTGCGTCGCCATCTGCGACGCACGCGGCCGAATCCAAAGCAACGCCGGCACCGCTGTTCCAAGTGGGCCACGGCGAGGCGGGAGTGAATGCGAGGGGTATACACGCGATCGGATGGTAACGCAAAGCGGACGTGGACCTCGAGCGCGCCACGCAAGCGCGAATCAGAATCATCGGCACGATGGACGCAATCATCGCGTTGCGAAAATGTTCCGCGCAAGCCCAACGTCGGATCGCGGGGAACGCTCGGCGCCCCGGAAGGCCTGCGAATATGACAGCCCCCCCGACCCGTCAAAATGCGAAAGACCCTCTTCTACCGATCCTTCCTGTTACACCGCTCCCCGCATAATTGCCCCATCGCTTTCCAAAGGAAACGTCGCTTCCTATTTGCCTCCCCCTGGCCACGCCGCGCGCATGGGCGCGCGCGGCAAGCCTGCCGCTGGTGGTCCGCCCCCCATCGTCGGATTCGCTTGAACGCGCTGAATGGAAAACGCGGGCTGGACATGGCGCCGAGCACAAGAATGCCTGGCCGCGTAGAGTTGATAATCAGGCGCATCGACATGCGCCCTCTTACTTTGCAGCCCGGCGACAAGCAGAGACCCCGCGCGCGCTCCCTCCCCGACTTGCATGACCCGCGAAAGAAAGTTTCACTCGGTCGGCCACTGGCCCAAAGAGCGCAACGCGCGGAATATCGCGCGTCAGCGGTCGGGTTGTTTCGGCGAAATCCCACGGGCAAGCGCGAGCGGTCGCATCAAGGTTTCCTCGGGCCGGCCTAGCTAGGAGCAAAAGAACATGCGACTTGCGGTGTTGCGGCGAAGTGGCCCGCAGCATGCGGGCGCGAAGGGGCTGTGCAGGCATTGGGGGCAGGGCGCGGGGAAACATCGGATTCTGCACGTTGCTCAGACGTCCGCTGAAAAGGGCCCTGGAAGTCAAAACGGCGCCCGCGGCGATGTCAATCTGGCGCCATGCCGAAACTGCGATGTAGGGCGGCCTCTGTTTCAACGCTCGACCTCCACCCCCCGTCCACGAAACAATCATCGTAACAGATGCGCTGAGCTGCGCTGCCCTGTAAAATCACAATGCGAGACATGTTTGGCGCGCCCCGCAATTCCCCTACATTTAGTTTCGTGACTTCGCCACTCTGCTGTCTAAAGCGCCGACTGGTCTCTCTGACGCACATTCATTATCTGCCTCCTCCGCCGCCGAAATATCCCCTTCATCCCCCATCCGCCGGCGCCTGCCTACACTGCGATCGCACGCAACTGCGCATGAATATATCATGCTTTCGCCTACTAGAATCCGAACCATCGAAAACGAAATTTCGGAATTTCCGAACTTCCGAAATCTGAAAAACGGAATTCTGGAATTTCTGAAATTTGAAAAAAGAAATTCCGGACATTCCGAAATTTGAAAAACGAAATTCCGGAATTTCCGAAATTCCAACGCGAAAAATGCGAAAATCCAACAACAATTTGAAAGCCAGACCCCTGGAACCTCAGAATCGCCAGAAGAGGCGGCCACCGCGTTACTCGCCTTCATGTCCAAGAGACGCTCCGCCAAGGAACCGCCGGAGAAGCGCGAACGAGCCTATCCAGATCCCCTTGGGCGGCATCTCATCACGGATGCGCCCGCGGCGCCACAATTTGCGTTCTAAGCAAGTTTCCTGGCGAGAAACCCAACCGCATGACTTCTGCAACTCCGCCGAAGAGGCATCGTCAAAGCTCGGGGTCACCATGGGCCCGCGAGGCGTTGCACGTGGTTGGATGCACGAATGCGAGCGCAGCCACTGGGGCCCGCGGTGGAACCTCCCACGGGGCGACGAAGCGCTGCGCGTGATAGAGAAACCGCAGCGAATTCTAACGCTGGGGCTTTCGATGGGGCCCCCCATGGGTCCATGAACCACAGTGGCGTGCGCGGGAAACGCATTCGAATTCCCTCGCCGGGGCATTCGGTGGAGCTCTGAATGCACCGCGCGCTGCGCTGAATGGGGGAAGCGCATGCGGTTTCCGCCGCTGGTGCCTCAGGTGGCGCTTCGCTTTGGGCTTCGAAGCGATGCGCTGGGCGAGGGGGGCGCATGCGAGATCCGCCGCTGTTGCTTTCGGTGGAGCTCCATATGTGGCCACGAAACGCTTCCATGAACCGCGCGCGAGTTCTGCCACTGACACCTTCGAAGGAATTCCCAATCAGGCCACCAAGCGCTGCATTGGGAATGCGCGCGTGCGTGCGGGGGGGGGTCACGAGCGAGAGGAAATTCGACGGGGCCCAGCGCTGCGCGCTGGGGGTCGCAGGCCGCTGATGATAGCAATCGCGGTAACGACAAAGCCTGTTATCACCCATGCGCAGTCGCCGAAATGACAGCCACCGTGCAATGCTACCGCGGCAGCCATTGACACAAAGACGTCGCCGACGACTGCAACCATAATTCAGAGGGGCATCGCTGCCAACTGCACAGCGCCGCACGCGCGACGACCTCATACCCGCAAGAAAAGCGAAACGGCAGCGGATCAACTCATACGTTGGGTGGGGATGGAGGGCGGCGAAGCGCATATGAGAACAGACCTGTATAGAACGATCAAGGCCGGGGAGAGAAGGATGAGAGAGCTGAGAAGACTTTTTTCTCGAACGGAACCATGTTGTAGGCAGTAACGCGGCAACACTGCACACCGGGCGCGCGCAAACACAAACAAAACCAAACAGCCGAGCAACAAAGAGGCATCGCAACAATGGCCACTTGGCCACCATCGCTTGGATGCGCCAGAACTGCAGCGCGAGAGCAGCTGCAACCACGAACGCATGCACATCTCAATATGACGCATCAGCTTCAAAGCGAACCACATCAACCGTAAGATCACCATACCGCCCCATTGAACGGATGTCTGCGGCATTCCCCCAAGCATGCCTAACGAGGGCCTCAGAACTCCAAGCGCCTCGTCCATCGCCCACCCACCTCGTCCTCGGCACCTGCCCCTCCTGCTCCGCCCCACTCTTCCAAGACCAAAAACGTCTTGCATTCTTCGCTGCGTGGGCCCCGCCCCCATCGCGCCCTTGACCCGGACCCCGCTCGGGGGGGGGAATTTTGTTTGTTGCTGTTCCGTCGCCAGCCTTCTTGCTGACGGCCCTCTGTAGGGCCCAGGGGCCCAGAAGAATGCTCCTGAAACCCAAACTTAAGGACACCTGCCGCTGTATCTGTTCGAACCGCTAAAACTCGTGAGGCCCTCGGGGGGTCTCCGCACATCGCCGGCGGTGTCCAGCCCGATGTCCCCTTCTAAGTCCCCCCGGGATATCCAAAGGTCCGCAGAGGACCCTCTTGAGCTTCCAGGGAGGAGGAAGGAGGAGGCGGATGATCAGAGTC